GGTGGCTTTGTGTAGCCACAAAGTTTTAGAATGCGGGTGCATCCTTATAACATTGCTATAGCGGTGTTGATTTGCTAAAGAGCACATGAAAACTGGAATAACTAGAATGGTAGATGCTTCTTGAATATATGATACTCTGGCCAATGGATCAGTGTGGCTGGAGTTAAAATACCGTTAATCTTGCTTTTATCTCTGTGCCTTACCTTGTTGTTGTTGTTTAGTCGTTTAGTTGTGTCCGACTCTTCATGACCCCATGGACCAGAGCACCCCAGGCCCTCCTGACTTCCACAGCCTCCTGGAGTTGGGTCCAATTCATGTTGGTAGCTTCAATGACGCTGTCTATCCATCTCGTCCTCTGTCGTCCCCTTCTCCTCTTGTCTTCACACTTTCCTAACATCAGGGTCTTTTCCAGGAAGTCTTCTCATGAGATGGCCAAAGTATTGGAGCTTCAGCTTCAGGATCTGTCCTTCCAGTGAGCACTCAGGGTTGATTTTGTTTAGAATAGCTAGGTTTGTTCTTGCAATCCAGGGGACTTTCAAGAGCCTCCTCCAGCACCACAATTCAAAAGCATCAATTCTTTGGAGGTCAGCTTTCTTTATGGTCCAGCTCTCACTTCCGTACATCACTGCAGGAAAAGCCATAGCTTTGGCTGTTCGGAGTTTGTTGGCAAGGTGATGTCTCTGCTTTTTAAGATGCTGTCAAGGTTTGTCATCGCTTTCCTCCCAAGAAGCAGGCATCTTTTAATTTTGTGGCTGCTGTCACCATCTGCATGGAGCCCAAGAAAGTAAAATCTGTCAGTTCCTCCATATCTTCCCCTTCTATTTGCCAGGAGGTGATGGGACCAGTGGTCATGGTCTTAGTTTTTTTTATGTTGAATTTCAGACCATTTTTTGCACTCTCCTCTTTAACCCTCATTACAAAGTTCTTTAATTCGTCCTCACTTTCTGCCATCAGAGTGATATCATCTGCGTATCGGAGGTTGTTGATATTTCTTCTGGCAATCTTAATTCCAGTTTGGGATTCCTCCAGTCCAGCCTTTCGCATGATGTATTCTGCATATAAGTTAAATAAGCTGGGGGACAATATACAGCCTTGTCGTACTCCTTTCCCAATTTTGAACCAATCAGTTGTTCCATATCCAGTTCTAACTGTTGCTTCCTGTCCCACGTATAGGTTTCTCAGGAGATGGATAAGGCGATCAGGCACTCCCATTTGTTTAAGAACCTGCCATAGTTTGCTGTGGTCCACACAGTCAAAGGCTTTCGCACAGTCCATGAAGCAGAAGTAGATGTTTTTCTGGAACTCTCTGGCTTTCTCCATAATCCAGCGCATGTTAGCAATTTGGTCTCTAGTTCCTCTGCCCTTTCAAAATCCAGCTTGTACTTGCCCCATTTCAAGGCTCGTAACCATAAAACTACTGTATTGCATAATTCAAAATACATCATTTCCTGAATCCCTTGGAATCTTTAAAATGGTGTACCATGTGACTACAGGCAACAACAACAAAAAATTGGTGTAATTCTGAGGGCTACCACACTGATTTTTGTGTACACCATGTAGCTTATCTATTTTAAAGTCACAGCAACCCAAAAATATTTGCCAAAGTTGGTTAAAATCTACACGTCTTTAAGAAAAACTATTTGGGTTGCCTCTGAGAGTCCCCAAAATGTTCATTTGTATATGCCATGGGTCAGTCCATCTCAAATATAACCTCCAAATTTCATTACAATTTGTTCAGTTATTTTCATATAATACAGGCAGAAATGGATAGGTAGACACTTACAGTTATTTATATAGATTGGTGTGTTCCAGGAAAAAAAAGGAAGAAAACAGAGAGAAGAGAACTGATCACACAAGGAACCACTAAGTTTTATCTTTTAAAAAACTTAACAAATCACTAAAAGTATTTCTTCATTGGAGAAAGCTCCCACTATTAATTTTTTTTCAGCCATGCAACCTTTAAAGATACAAGTGTTCCACGGAAATACATAATTTCTCTTTATGTATTTTATAAAGTTGTCTAAGGACTGGAGGAACTGTGAGCTTGTAGGTAAGAAAGTAGTACTGTATTGCCATTTCCCCCAATTCTTCGCTTGGGCCTTTAAGACATAAACGTTTAAGCATACAGTAAGCTTAAGTCTGAAAACTTCTTATCTGTGACCACAGTGCCAATGAGTTTTATTTCCATGCCCTTGTCTAAGAAGGGCTCTTTACATTAAAGAGTAGCATTGAAAGGAAAATCAGTTAGATGTCATCTTCCCCATCTGAACAATGCTATGATGGTAAAAAACATACTTGGGATAATTTTTAATTTTTTTCAGGTCCAAGTCCAAGAGTGCTTCTGATCCAGAGGGGTGGATGGAAAACTCATTGTGCAAACTGTCAAGAGACATTGTGCAGCTATTAGTTTTTTTTCTGACAAATTGAATCCCAAGAAGCACTGAAGAAATCAGTTGCATAAAGTGATTTGAGCTAACCAGTCATCTGCTGTGGAGGAAAAGAAGCAAGAAAAATGAGGGCCAAAATAGTTTTAACTTTGTCTACTAGGTTTCAGGAGAAGCTGAGTTAGATAATTATCTCCAACAGGAGTTGGGATGCCTGTCATGGGCTGCCCACTGTTTTTGTAGACTGTCCTTGAAATTATCACAGCATGAACCATTGTTGCTAGGCATTTCTTACCCAGATAGGGGTGCAACTGGGCAATCGACCGAAGTTGATAGAAAGCACTCTCGGCCACCCCAGATATTTGATCTTCCATAGAGAGCTCTGGGTCGAAGAACACAGTGGTGCCTTGACTTACGAACTTAATCCATCCCAGAAGATGTTTGTAAGTCAGAAAGTTTGTAGGTCAAAGCAGCATTTCCCATAGGAATCCATTATGTCAAGGCACAGTTTGTAAGTCAAAAGCGGTTAATCCGTCCACTACTACTAGGGGGAGAGTGGTTAATCCGTCCACTACTACTAGGGGGAGAATTTTTCTTCTTTTAACCTAAAAGAAGGTTAAAATAAGAATTTTTCTTCTTTTAACCTAAGATGAAGGGCAAGAAAGGAAGGAGGGGGGGAATAAACACCTTTTAAACAGAACACCTTTAAAACCAAGCAGCTTTAAACCAAACCAAGCACTTTTAAACCAATTTTTTTCATTTTACAGTTACAGTACCAGGCATTCCAAAGTCCATTTCCCGCTTTCCCACATTTTTGTTTGTTTGTAAGTCCAAGCTCCGTTTGCAAGTCAGAGCAAAATTTTGTGAACGGAGCCGTTTGTAACTCAAAATGTTTCTAGGTCAAGGCATTCGTAAGTCAAGGCACCACTGTACTCCCAAGCTGTGGGCCACTCCTTTAGTGGGAGAGGAACCCCATTGAAGCCATGCAAATTTTCCTCTAACCAATCCGATGGTCCTTCTAGCAGTAGAATCTCTATCTTACCTGGATTTAGTTTTCGTTTATTGGCTCTTGTTGTTTGTTATCAAAATTAGGCTGCACTCAGAACCTATACAGCATCCCCAGCAGATGAAGAGATGGAGAGATGAAACAGAATGTCAGCAGCATATTGGTGGTAGTGAAGCCCAAATCTCCATAGGGTTTCTCCCAATAGGTTCATGTAGATGTTAATAACCATTGGAGAGACTGCCATCCCCTATGGGACTGAGTAACAGATGTCCCAAAGGGTGGAGACAGCATCCCTAAAACTGAACTACCTGGGGCCAGCCGTCAAGAATACTCTGGGACCACTGAAAAACAGAGTCCCCAATCTCTAAACTCAGTAGCTGTCCTGGAAGGATACAGTGTTTAACAGTATTAAAGGCCTCAGAAGGGCCAGTAGGGACCAGCCTGTCTCCTTTGACGTTGCAAAGGTTTGTCCCTTGTGATATCAAAAGACCTGCCTGCTGGCCTCAGGAGAGTTTTGTTCTGAAATCTCCGGTAACGAAAAGCTGCTGACCTGGCAACCCAGCTGTAAGGAAGATGTTATAATCCCAAACCCACCACATTATGATTTTGTTTTGTCTACTAATACCTTTGAATGTGATTTGCAGACTACATGTAAAAGTATGTATGCCTGTATACAAGGTATAACTATATACATTGCCCAAAAGCATTACTTAATTCTTACCTCAAAGCAGCATACAACCGTGTGTGTCCTATTACAAAAACATGTTACTTCTGGTCCATGTTATTTGACAGGGGGTATTTGTATTTTCTAGTATTCTGATAATAAATTGCATACAACTTTTCATTCTTTTTTCAGAAAAGAAATGTATTGAAATGTTAACTCATATATTTTACCTATAGGACCGAAAAATAGTATTGCGACCATGTCTGATGTTATGAATCTGTGCATTGTACTAAAACATGTAATTTCCACAACGTAAGAGAAGTACAAAAAATTATGAATAGTGATGTAGCATACATTGAGAATGAAAGTTATGAACTGTTAATCTGTCAGCCTCAGCAACGAACTCACAGGTGGCTTTTGGCAAGTCATTATCATTCAGCCTCAATTTCCCGTTTGTAGTATGTGTGGTGTAGTGGATACAGTGATGGATTAGGAGTCTGGAGACAAGGGTTCGAATTCCCGCTTGACCATGGAAACTCATTAGGAGATGGAACTGGTAAAACCACTCCTTAAATATTTCACTTACATTGAAAGCCCTATTAGAGTGACTATAAGTCTGTTCCAGCTTGACAGCACAGAACACACACAAACAATATGAGGAAATAATACAGGCCTTTCATAAATTACAGTGAAACTAAAAATATCTCATATCCTAATAAGTGTTCAGGAGCAGCTTTCACAATTCAGTTTACCATAATTCATGTAAATATATTCATAGTAAAGAAGCATGTTCTATCACTTACTTTTTCTTCATGGTCTCTTTGACAAAACATGTTGCATTAATTACTTCAGGTACAAAACCAGTGTCCCGTTTTAATTGTCTTTTTCTAGAAGGAAACTGAAACCTGCTTTATGATACAATATGAGTGCTTTCATTTTTCCTTAGTTGTCATGGATGATGACGATGATGAGTCCTGTCTCTTTGATCTTATTGGGTAAGTTTTTAAAACTTTGGAATAATCCCTTTGCAAGAGGAAAGCTTGATAGGTAATAATATAGAAACATTACACAAGGGCTGGATCTTTGTTGGAGTAAAGAAGGGGAGGGTGGTCTCCCCCCCCCCAGTTCCAACAGTCTCCGCTGCTACCTTCTGCACAATGCAGTGATAATTAGAAGTCAACATGAATTTATCAAGAACATGTCCTGCAAGACTAATCTTTCCTCATTTTTGATAGGGTAACCTCTCAGGGAATGCTGTAGACCAGGGATCAGGGAACGTTTTTACCTTCCTCCCCCCCAATTTTTTTTTATATACGCCGATATTACCCCCTTGATTCAAAAGGAAGGAAATCATACATTATTTGAATTCGAAATCTTATTGAATCTATTCAAAATTACTTTGAAAGCTTCAACTTGCTTGAAAACTTCAGGTTTTGGAGAAATGATATTGCTTCATCTTGGATATGAGAGCATCAATATTGGGGCTCTGCTCATCGTCATTACCCCCAGGATTTTCATTTTTACCCCATTTGGGGTAATTTACCCCTGTTCCCTGACCGCTGCTGTAGACAGTGGGAATGCTGTAGACATAATTTATACTGACTTCAATAAAGCTTTTCACAAAGTGCCCAATGATAGTCTGATTAGCAAGCCAACTAGGCATGGGCTAGATAGAATAACGATCAGATTCATACACAGTTTGTTAAGGAACCCTAGTCAGAGAGTGCTTATTAATGACTTCCAAACTGAAAGGAGATAATGAGTGGAGTACCATAAGGCTTAATCTTAGGCCCAGTGCTCTTTAACATTTTTATTAATCATTTGGATGAGGGCGCATGAGGAGTGCTGTTAAATTTGCCGAAGACACAACATTGGATGGGATAGCTAATACCCTGGAATACAGAAACAAAATTCAAAACGATCTTGATAGACTGGAACACTAGGCTGAAAATAAAAGAATGAAATTTTACAGGGATAAGTGAGAGCACAGTTACAAGATGGGGGATACTTGGCTTAGCTTTCTACATGTGAGAAAGATACTGGAATTGTTATGGATCACAAACTGTAAAAAAGGCAAGTGCCATTTTAACTGCATAAATTGAAGTATAGTCTCCACATCCCATGAAGTACGAATTCCCTTATATTCAGAACTGGTTAAGTCTCATTTTGAGTACTGTGTCTAGTCCTTGACATTGAAATTTAAGAAGGATGTTTACAAACAAATTCAGAGGAAGTCAGCAAGGATGATCAGGAGACTAGAAACCAAACCCTATGTGGAAAGACTGAATGAACTGAGCATATTTAGCCTTGAGAAAAGAACACTGAGGTGAGGCATGATAGCACTTTTAAAAATACTTGAATGGTAGTCATACAGTGAAGGGGCAAGATCTGTTCTTGACCATCCCAGAGTGCAGGACCCATAATAATGAGCTCAAGTTACAGGAAGCCAGATTTAGGTTGAATGCTAGGAAAACCTCTGAATTGTTAGAGCAGTCTGACAATGAAAACAGTTACCTTGAGGTGTTGAGTGCTCCAGCCCTGGAGGCATTCAAGAGAAAATTAGACAACCATCTGTCAGATATATTTTGGATTCCTTGAGCAGGGCGTTGACCTTATTGGCCCCTTACAACTCCATTATTCTATGATTTTTCTGAAGAACCAACAGACCTTCAGACCAGCTTTTAAAGGGCACAGTGGAGAGGCAGAGAAAAGTAAATTTCATTATGGACAGGGACCAGTACAAAACAGTATCTCTCAGCACATAGATCCCAGTATGAAAAACCTTTAGCAAAGCAGCTGCTCACAATCTAGTCCCTGTCAGTAATCTGGGAGTGATAATCAGAAAAAACTGAAAAGCACAGTTCTTCTGATGTACCTGTTTTGAGTAAAAAGGAGCAATATAATGGAAAGTACCCGAGTGTTTCTACTTCCCCTGTTTACAAGGATACTTGCATTCCTCATATGGAACCCCACAGTCTCTCCCTTCAAAAGGTGCAGAAGATAGGACATTAAATTAGACAGAGAAAATGCTTTTCTAAAGTTGTGAATTTATAAATTCATCTGATAAGTAGCTGGTACAAACATATTATCCCCAAGGTAATAGTGTTTTGTAACCAGGCTTAAATGATGTTGTAATTCTCTATGCTTATCTCTGTACCATTGTGTAATAGTCATTTTAGCCATTCAACACTTGAGGGATATTAAACTGTTAAATAGGTTGTTAGGCTTTCAGCCTAACCTTTTCCTTTTTTACTGAAAAGTGTCTATTAAAATTAGTAATGAGGAAAAAACTGGTTTAGGCAATAATTTATTGTTTATTTACAGGCACAGATCTCCATAGAAACTGAGCACATCTCATGGTGCAGGCTGCATTAATGACACAGGGCTGAACAATTTCAAAGGGTCTAAAACTACTGTGGGTCCAAAGTTGTGACCCATAAAAAAATTTGAGCTACAACATTAGGTACAAATACTTGAATAGCTGAGAGACTTTACTGTCCTCTTGTATAAAAAAAATTAAACAAGGCTATAACAACTCTTCCAAGCATTATCAGAGGAGTGAAAAACAGCTCCCAGATACGTATAGCTTGCTGCTGGCTCAGTAGAGTCCCTCTTAATCTGACATTTGTATTTGATACTCCTTCAGGTAAAGACCAAGTTTGTTTCCTTAGGCTCCCAATGATGAAAGGGATTACTCAGGGACCTTGGTACATTCAGAAGTCAGAAATGTTTCATTTCTGAAAAATCACCACTGCAGTTGATGTCACTGGGCTTATGCAGCATAAGTTAACAGAAGCAGGACTTTGGCCACTGTGTGTGTAGTATGGTACCTCATCTTACCCCTTTTAAAGCTTGATTTGACCCAGAATCTGTTTATTCAGCAGTCCAAGGTATCCATAAAACTATCCTCAAACACCACATTTGGTTGAACCAATTAGAAACAGTGATTTCAGATTTACTTCATAGTCTGTTTAATGGAATAAGATCAAATACTGGCTTCAGATTAATAAAACTTATGTAAGAGGCACTGCGAACTGGGAAGGCATACAATCATGTGAAAAAGAAAGTACACCCTCTTTGAACCCTATGGTTTTATATATTTCAGGACATAATAAAAATCATGATGTCCTTGTTGTTTAATCGTTTAGTCGTGTTCAACTCTTCGTGACCCCATGGAGCAGAGCATGCCAGGCCCTCCTCTCTTCCACTGCCTCCTGGAGTTGTGTCAAATTCATGTCCTTTCCAGGTCTGAAAATTATGTAAATACAACCTCAGATGAACAACATGGCATATCACACCGTGGTATGATTTATTTTACAAAAATAAAGCCAAAGTGGAGAAGCCAATGTGTGAAAAATACACGTTATATTGTAATTTTGTTAGATTGTTGTTTTATGTGTTGGAAGCCGCCTAGAGTGATCGTTCGACTAGATAGGCGGGATATACTGTACATGCAATAAATAAATAAATAAATAAATAAATACATAAATAAAAATCAAGTACACTCTTATTGTTTCCATAGGAATTAAGGGAGTAAGTACAGTGGGGTCTTGACTTGAGAACTTAATCCGTATTGGAAGGCGGTTCTCAAGTCAAAAAGTTCTCAGGTCAAATCTGGATTTCCCATAGGAATGCATTGAAAACCATTTGATCCGTATCTGCTCTTTTCCGTCCATAGAAACTAATGGGAAGCTGCTATTCCGCCTTCGACCACTAGAGGGGGATATTTTGTTTCTTTTTTTTCTTAGGTCAAGAAAGGTTCAGGGAAGGCAGGGAAAATACAGTCCAGGCAGGACAGTACCAGGCAGTCCGAAGACTGTCTCTCAATCCACTCTCTAAACGCTGGGAGGAGTGAGGAAGCAGACAGGCACCCTTTTCACTGGCCAACAGTTAACTGAAAGTTCACATTTTGCACTCTCCCTGCCTCCCACGTGGTTTTTTTTCAGTTCTTAACTCAAATCTAAGTATGTAAGTCAAGTCAATATTTTCCTATGAGAGTGGTTCTTAAGTCAAAATGTTCTTAACTCAAGCCGTTCTTAAGTCAAGACCCCACTGTAGCAGCCATGTGCTGCTAACCAAATACCCTTGAATAATCAACAAGTATGTCCACCACTATGATAGCCAAGGGTTTAGCAGTTTGCTGGTCTGGAGGATTCAGATGAGTGTTAACACAAATTCACCCCAAGATCAGATTGTACAATGCTCAAAGAAATTGAGTGTTGGGAGGGTGAGAATAGATAAAAGAAAAAACTTCTTCCCTCAGTGTGTTTTAGTCTGTGGAACTCCTTGCCACAGAATATGGTGATGGCATCTGGCCTAGATGCCTTTAAAAGGGGATTGGACAGATTTCTGGAGGAAAAGTCCATCACAAGTTACAAGCCATGATATGGGGATGCATAATCTCCAGGCTTAAAAGGAAGGTACTTCAAAATGCCAGATGTAGGGGAGGAGTATCAGGAGACAGGTATCTAGTTGTCTTGTTTGCTCCCAGAGGCATCTGGTGGGGCCACTGTGAGATACAGGAAGCTGGACTAGATGGGCCCTTGGCCCGGATCCACCATACTCTTCTTATGTTCTTCTGTTATGTAACCTCAATAAACTGAAGCAATATCATATGGAAGAGTGGGCCAGAATTCCTCCACAATGATGTGAGAGACTGATACACAGAAAATGATTCCTTCAGGTTATTGTGCTAAAGGTGATTCTACAAACCATTGTGCTTAGTTTTTCACACGTAGCTTCTCCATCATGCCACCATGTAATGTGTCATTTGTTGTTGTTCATTTGAAGTTCTATTTAAATAATTTTCAGACCTAAGGACCAGATTCTGACCACCACCCATTATGGTGTGGGTCCCCAGTCCCCTTTTCTTTACTACCAAGTGCTAGGTCCTGTTCCTTTCTGTCACTTTTCTTTTCACTCTCTCAATCACCTTTAGAGCATAGCCACTAGCATCCATTTCTAGGTTGTATCAAGCTGGTCTTTTTTCTTGGTCTACCGCCAGGGACTGTCTCTGCCTAAAATTGGCTAACAAGGTTATTTTTATTATGGCCTGATAAAAACCATAGAATCTAAAGAGGGCATTCTTTCTTTTTCACATGATAGTATTTATCTATTAGAAGCTGTAGGGCATGTTTCTGATTTACACTTGATCATCCTGGTTTGAATCCTACCTGCTTGTTTTTTGGGCACTTTCCCCCATTCTAACCATTCCAATAATTTCTCAAAGCATGGAGAAACAGGAATCAGTGAAAAATGCTGTTCCATCTTCTTCCTCCAGTATAACTAGAAATCACTGATAACAAGTCCAGAGCCAGCCCATTGGCCAGAATTTTGGCAGTGGTTTATGCATGTGTATGTGGAATCATATAAGTCATGGTGTCAAACTGTGGCTAGGTAACAGGGTGCCAATCATGTTCCTGAGTTTGTGTCTGGTTGTGGAACTGGGAACTGGGCACAAAACAATAATGTATACCTTGTTAATTAGTGGAAATTTACTGTTACAGCTTACATGATTTCATTCCCGAATGCATAAATTGCCAGTCATGAAATTAGTAACAATGGGAAACATGGTTATATTGCCCCATGTATTTCCTGGGGCAAGACATGTTTGATAGGCTCTTTTCTATGTAGAAGATTTTGAGCTTCCAAAACTGGTTAAGTTAGACTCCCACCCTCTCAGGTTTCCAACAGAACCTTTCTGTGTATTCTGACAAATAGGTCTCAGATGACGAGACAGAGGGAAAGAAAAACAATATTATGGACAACAATGATCCTTAGTATCTATAATTATAATATGCTATATGGAATAGTCAGATTTTTTAAATGGTGAAAAAGAAACAGGAGCTAAATTAGAAATAACCATTTTTGATGTCTTGAAAAATGTCCTTTGTGAAGGGGGCTATATGAGAAAACTTCAGATACTGTGTTAACAAATATAACTTGCGTTGTAGGCAGTAAGCAAAAAGCATCTCGTTTTAAAAAAATAACTTTATTTCCATTCATTTCAATAATAAATGCCTTTTAATTTCCATTGATTAAAATATAACATCAGAATCCTCTGTGCTGGTCAGATGAGATATCTGTCACACATTAGATCCTTTATCAGAGACACACACACATACAAAAACCCAGGCGCTTGCGCTGCATACAGCGATTTATAGAATATAGTTTTGATTATAATAAGGTGACATTTCTTTTAAACAGCATAATAATGGCAGTTATATTATATATCTTTATGTAAGATATGCAGATATACATTTACACTACTGATAGTGGTTTCCTGGAAGTAAGCCAGGGTTTTTCTTCTGTTCCAGTAGTCTAAATCAGGTACTTGAGGATCATAGTATCAGTGCTCAGGTGGTATAATTCAGAGGGACTTTTTGCTATTTGTGTCACCTGATAGTTCGAGAACATTTAATTTTAGAATACTGTTGTGTAACAATTGTGAGCTTCTAAGACTGGTTGATTTCACTTTTTTGTTTTGTTTTTTTCTTAGAGACGCACAGGCACTGAATTATTTCTTACATGGAGCAGGCAGTAAATCTGTAAGTTATATTTTGATGTGTTATATAGTTTTAGCTTTAGTAACTGTAATACTGTTAGCTTAATCTTATTTCTCTATATTTGTGCTGTAGCAGAACAATGAAGACTTGACTAATGCAGGGTATTCTGCAGCCAACTCAAATTCCATTTTCGCCAATACTAGTGTAAGTATGCAGGAAAAAAGTGGAATTATATTGTGTTCTTGAAATTCTGTAATGGTTTGTGTATGCTCTGTGTAACTATATATATAACATACAGGATTTGATCATCTTATAACACTGCTTCTTAACCTTGGGTTACTCAGGAGTTTTGGACTGCAACTCCCAGAAGCTTTCACCACCAACTGTGCTGGCTGGGGTTACTGGGAGTTGCAGTTCAAAGACATCCGAGTAACAAAGGTTAAGAACCACTGTCTTATAGCATCTGGTTCTGGTGTTTACGTCTCAATAACTTCTTGTTAAAATTGGCCATTATTCTAATTAACTTCCATTAAATGGAGGATCTGGCCATTTGCTAATGTAGCAATGTGAGCTGGCACCATTTACACCGCCATTGCTGTTGGCAAATGGAAGGTGGATTTTCTTCATGAAGGCCACCACTACAGAGCTTCTACAAGGAGTGTAGTCACATGATTCTACACCAATGAAACTTCTACTCAACAGATGCTTGTTATAATACTGGCCAGTGTTTGCAGGAGGTTAATTTTCTTAAAATTTCTGGGCTTGATTTAGCTTCATTTCTTATACTTGGCAGGCAATGCAAAGATACTCCAAGTGCACACACAGATCCTGGAGATGTCCTGAGGTACCGGATGTAGATGCTGTAACTCTGCTGCACACACACATGTTCACAACAATTTCCAAAGAAGTAGCCCTAGCAGTATGTCTGAGCATGTTGGTGGAAGAAAAGGAAGATAAAATCCCCAAATGCTGTAGAACATGAAGATGTAACAATTTCATTTCATTGTGAGCTTTTTTATTCATCAAGGTCCTTTTCTCATGTACTGGTATGCAAATGACTGATAAATTTATACATATCTCCCTGGTTAGGTGAAGATATAGGTAATAAACAAAATGACAGTGGTTCATTCACAGAGGAATGGGACTATCAAGTTATTAATTACAGATCCTGGCTACTATAATAACTGTAGGCCAGGTGCATATGACTGTCACAAGAATGCTAGGTGATATGTCTGGCCCAGAGACATCCTCAGAATAAATGTAGATATACCAGTAATGTATTTGCATTCCAGTGTCTAAGGAAGTGGACTTTGAACCATGGAAGCTTACATGGATTAAAATGTAGACTTTAATGTGCTGTAGTGCTTTGGGGACTCTTCTTTTGCCAACATGTTCACAACAGACCATTGATACTGAGCACTCATGCTTAGGGTTGTGATGGAAAACTGTCTTCCACACTCAGGTGTACAACTTCCTTGTGTTGAAACCAATGAACAAGGATGGAGTTGCATAGGGTGTGGAAGAGATGGGAGGAGGTCTTGCTTCCAGGGTTCCTGCTAGGTTTATCATGCAAAAAGAAGAGGAGATGATCAAATGTCGATCCATGGATTTTGTTGGATGACAACTGCCATGGTTCCTAACCAGCATGGATGCTATGGGAATTGTAGTCCAGCAGTATCCATGAATCCAGTATCCATGGCCAGTGGTAAGGAATTATGAAAATTGTAGGCCAACAAGTCATGGTCCTGAGTGTGAGAAACACTGAGCTACAGTAGGGATCTGGAATGTGTAGTTGAGGAGGTCCATCCAGCTCCTTTGGCCAGTTTTTTTTCCAGGGATACCCCAAAGTCTCCAAATAGATTTTTTTTCTGAAGTAGTCTTTTTAAACCCTCTGTGTGTGTGTGTGTGTGTGTGTGTGTGAGAGAGAGAGAGAGAGAGAGAGAGAGAGAGAGAGAGAGAGAGAGAGAGAGAGAGAGAGAGAGAGAGAGAGAGAGAGAGAGAGAGAGAGAGAGAGAGAGAGAGAGAGAGAGAGAGAGAGAGAGAGAGAGAGAGAGAGAGAGAGAGAGAGAGAGAGAGAGAGAGAAAGAAAGAAAGAAAGAAAGAAAGAGTGACTATTTAATCTTAGTCAGTTTTTCCATTAAGGACCTTGACCATTCATTTCAAAAACTGAAACTAGTTGCACCCCATCCAGTATTTCCTGATATATTTTTCTTCTAAACTTGCTATTTTTTGTTATTTCTGAGTTTTGTTTGCAGTGGGAAGTGGGGGGCCAAAGTCTGTTCCCCAAACCCTCATCTCAGGCCGAGAGTTATTGCAGTTGGTGCACTTGGATCTGCAACATCTACTTTCAGTATACACAGAGCATATCACTCTTTCTTTTCCCACATAGCTTTGCACATTGGATCTGGAGGGTTAGTTACCTGATAAGGACTTTGTTGAGTTTTCACTTTTCAGAACCTCTCATGGTTCAGTTTGTCTAGTAAGCTATACTATGTATAAGAGTTGGATTATGTTTAATAATATACGAATTTGCAATTTAGTATAGATTAAATTACAAAACCCAGGATTTTATTGCTTTCCTACTGTAAGCAAAATATCTTTCAAAATATATCATTTAAATTAAGATAAGTGTTTTACTTACATCTCATTTCTATTCTTTGTTCCAAAAGTTGCTGTTACTGTTGTACTATATTGTACTGTATAGCCATCCTGTTTCTTCTTGAAATGGTAAAACCAGATATGTTAGCATATGTATTTTTAAGGCACACAACAAATGTATACATATGGTTTAAAACAAGTGGGAGTGATTTATATAATATTTTTTTCCTTTCAGAGCTCAGATGCTAAGTCATCAATCAAAGGTGTGGGGAGTCAGCTTGGAGAGGGGCCTAGTGATGGACTACAGTTGCCAAGCAGCCTTCAGTTTCTTGATGATGAACTTGAATCTTCTCCATTGCCTGATCTCAGTGAAGATCAGCCTTTTGATATCCTCCAGAAATCTCTGCAGGAAGCTAATATTACTGAACAGACTTTGGCAGAAGAAGCTTATCTGGATGCCAACATAGGCTCCAATCAACAGTTTGCACAAACTCATCTTCATCCTTCCTCATCAGCATCTTTTACTCAGGCTTCTAATGTTTCTAATTACTCAGGTCAGACGCTGCAACCTATAGGAGTTACTCAAGTGGTACAGCAACAAGTTGGAGCATCTTTCGCAAGCAATACAGTTGGTGTGCAACATGGCTTTATGCAACATGTGGGAATCAGTGTTCCCAGTCAGCATTTGTCAAACAGTAATCAAATTGGTGGTTCCGGACAGATACAGCTAATTGGTTCATTTAGTAATCAGCCTTCTATGATGACCATAAATAATCTTGAAGGATCTCATATTATATTGAAGGGTGGTGGGCAGCAAGCACCTGCAAACATGAGTGGTGGACTTCTGGTTCATAGACAAACTCCTAATGGTAACTCAATGTTTGGCAACTCAAATTCAAGCCCAGTAGCACAACCTGTAACTGTTCCATTTAATAGTACAAATTTTCAGACATCTTTGCCTGTGCATAACATCATTATACAGAGGGGTCTTGCTCCAAATTCTAACAAAGTTCCCATCAATATTCAACCAAAACCTATTCAGATGGGCCAGCAAACCACTTACAATGTGAATAGCTTGGGAATACAGCAGCATCATGTGCAACAAGGGATTCCTTTTGCTTCATCAAACTCGCCTCAAAATTCAGTAGTTGGTCCACATATGTCTGTTAATATTGTTAGTCAACAAAACCCAAGAAAATCAGTCACTCCCCAGGCTGTAAGTAATGCTGGTGGTAGCATTGTTATCCATTCTCCCATGGGACAGCCTCATACACCACAGAATCAGTTCCTTATACCCACAAGTCTGTCAGTAAATCCTAATTCAGTTCACCATGTGCAGACTATCAATGGACAGCTTCTTCAGAATCAGCCTTCACAGCTTGTGTCCAGCCAAGTATCTACTGATCATGTTATGCTGAACAGGAACTCTACAAACATGCTTAGAACTAACCAACCATATTCAGGACAGATGCTGAATAATCAGAATGCTGTGCAGTTAGTTTCTGGTCAAACATTTGCAGCTCCTGGAAATCAAGTTATAGTAAACCATGGGACTTCTCAAATTGTTGGTAGCCAGGTTCCGTTGCAGCAGGCATCTCCTGCTGTGTTGCATTTGTCTCCTAGCCAAGGAAACATTTCCCAAGGTAGAACGGGCTTTACCACAATGTCTCCTGGACAGGCATCTGGTTCAAATATGTCATCAAACAATCGGTTTACTGTTGTGAGTTCTGCCACCTCACATCCCAGCATTGGCCCATCAGCCCATTCTGTTGCTTCCAGTGGGAATTTTGCTGGAGATCAAGTTGTTCAGCAAAATAGAATGCAGTTGGCAGTCAGCGCATCACATCGTCTTCCAGTTTCTTCTTCCAAACCTGTCAACACCTTTAGTCACACATCAGTAACCCAACCACAGTTTTCCTTTGGCCAGGTATGAACTGATGCATGCTCAAAATCTTAATGTAATTTAAAGAAAAATATGTTACAGTGTTGGTTTGGGTACAACTGTAAAATACACAGTAGTGTTTTAAAATGATTTTATTAATTTACAGATGCCTAGATATTCAAAAATCTTCAAAATCTATATCAATGTATCAATTTCCCTTGGCTGGAATGGTTATTCGTATGAATTCATTTGCTAAAAGCAGAGAGTTTCCAGAATTTTCAGCAGTGGCTGAGCTGTTCATTTTAAAATATTGACATCAATTAAACTGTGATAGCTGTTCCATAGTTTAGTGTGGTAAGACTGAACTGCAGTGAGCAGTTTATGCCTACTGCCCTCCTCTTGTGCAGCTAGAAGAAGTTTGGGAAACTTTTGCTGCCATTTTTATGTTGAACAAAATTTGCTCTATTTACCAAACTGATTAATCTCAACTGTGATTAATGAGAATAAGTACTGTAACTTCAAACTCCTTAACTGCCCATAGTTAAGATTAAGCATTGTATAAAGTCTGGACAGCTATACTGCGTTTAATTTAAAGTGGAAGCAAAGTGTTCCTATATTCTGCGTCCATAGCTGCACTGGAGAGGAGACTAGCATATTTGCTCCAAAGCTCCCTACAGCTTATTCTCATCAACCTACACTGTGGTTTAGTGAAGAATGGGGAACAAGGCTCTCTATATTACTGGACTGCAATTCCCATTAGCCTAGCCTAGCTTATCATAACCAGAGGTGAGAAATTGCAGTAGGTGGACTTGCACTCCAGCTAGATATGGAGGGTCATGTTTTCCTCATTTGTGTGATTTCTGAAATGCCTTTTATAATGAAGCTGTGTAAAACATCTATGGGTAAAACTTTAATATCATCCAGATCATTCTCAAGTGTGAGAGAAGTGTTTCTATTTTATGCATGTTTGTACTACCTGCTTTAAAAATACAGAACAATTTAAGATGGATGTTGGATAGAACTGAATGAAGGTCAGATCTGTGAGGAAGAGAGATATGGTTTATTAAAAGAAAACCTTCTGTTCTTACAGTAGATATAAAAAGTTTACACACCTGTGTTAAAATGTCAAGTGTCTGTGATGTAAAAAAATGAGACAAAGATAAATAATTTCAGAACTTTTTCCACCTTTAATGAGAACTATGAACTGTACAACTCAGTTGAACAATAAACTGAAATCTTTTAGGTGGAGGGAAGTAAAAATAAAAAACTGAAATAATATGGTTGCATCTGTGTGCATACCCTTAAACTAATACTTTGTCGAAGCACCTTTTGATTTTTTTAGAGCACTCAGCCTTTTTGGGTATGAGTCTATCAGTATGGCACACATTGACTTGGCAATATTTGCCCACTCTTCTTTGCAAAAACGTTCCAAATCTGTCAGATTGCAAGGGCGTCTCCTGTGCACAGCCCTCTTCAAATCACCCCACAGATGTTCAATCGGATTCAGGTCTGGGCTCTGGCTGGGCCATTCCAAAATGTTAATCTTCTTCTGGTGAAGCCATTCCTTTGTTAATTTGAATGTGTGCTTTGGGTTGCTGTCATGCTAAAAGATAAAGTTCCTCCTCAGGTTCAGCTTTCTAGCAGAAGCCTGAAGGTTTGTGCCAATATTGACTGGTATTCGGAACTGTTCATAATTCCCTCTACCTTGACTAAGGTCTCTGTCCCAACTGAAAAAAAATAGTCCCAAAACATGATGCTGCCACCACCATGCTTCACTGTGGGTATGGTGTTCTTTTGGTGATCAGTGTTGTTTTTGTGCCACACATATCTTTTGGAATTAGGGCTGAAAAGTTCAACCTTGGTTTCATCAGACCATAACACTTCTGCCTACATGTTTTTGGGAGACTCCAGCTGTGTTTTTGCAAAATTTAGCTGGGCTTAGATGTTTTTCTTCGTAAGAAAAGGCTTCTATCTTGCCACTCCACCCCATAGTCCAGACATATGAAGAGTACGGGAGATTGTTGTCACACAGCCAGTACTTGCCAGGTATTCCTGCAGTTCCTTTAATGTTGTTTTAGGCCTCTTGGCAGCCTCCCTGACCAATTTTCTTCTAGTCTTTTCATCAGTTTTGCAGGGTCGTCCAGTTCTTGGGAATGTCACTATTGTGCCATATTTTCTCCACTTGATGGTGACTTTCTTCACTGTGTTCCATGGTATATCTAATGCCTTGGAAATTCTTTTGTACCCTTCTCCTGACTTTTTAACAATGAGATCCCTCTGATGCTTTGGAAGCTCTTTGCAGACCATGGCTTCTGCTGTAGGATGTGACTATGAAAATGTCAGGAAAGACCTACTGATCTTTATTTGGGATTCCTCAGAGGCACTTTAAATGATGGCAGGGATGTACTGACTCCTACTTAACATGAATTTGAATGTGATTGTTTACTGCTGAAGACAGCTACATCCCCAGTTACAAGAGGGTATGCACACAGATGCAACCATATTATTTCAGTTTTTTATTTTTACTTCCCTCCACCTAAAAGATTTCAGTTTGTTGTTCAACTGAGTTGTACAGTTCATAGTTCTCATTAAAGGTGGAAAAAGTTCTGAAATTATTTATCTTTGTCTCATGTTTTAACATCACAGACACCTGACGTTTTAACAGGGGTGCGTAAACTTTTTATATCCATTGTAGATATAATCTGAAAAATATCTTGGTGGAAGTCTATGGTGCTGCCCAGAGTGGTTCAGATCTAATCATCTCAATTTAATATGCATTATACATGCATTTTTCTGTCCCTCTTCACTTCTAATTTTGTATATCAAAACTGAAGACTTACAGGATGCATTAAACCAGTTTCCTTAATATCACAAGTGGGGAGGCTGGTTTAATTTTGGATAATAAGCCAATACATGAAACTAGGATATAACTAGTTTCTTATTCTGATTTCTCATTCAAGATGTTAGGTATGAGCATAATGCTGAGATTGATATGTCTGAACTGTCCCACATAGTACAGATGAATATAGGAATTCACATATTTTAAGAGTGTTTGGTAGTTTCACACATGGTCATTGTTTCAATTTATATATTGCCGCACAGACCTGAAGTACTCTCTGGCCAATTTACAACATAATTATGCAAACAATGCATTGCCCCCCCCCCCAGCAAGCTGGGTACTCATTTTACTGATCTCAGAAGGATGGAAGGCTTAGTCAACCTTGAGCCAGCTATCTGAATCCATTGGAGCAACTGAGGTAGTGAGCAAAGATGTAACTGCAGTTTAACCACTGCACCTTGGGGCTCATTAACTGCAATATGTCTTCTACAGCAGCGGTCCCCAACCTTTTTGGGGCCGCAGACTGGCTGGGGGAAGCTATCTCCATGTGGGGGGGGGACAGGGCACCCCCACGCTGTGCAGTGGGCGTGTTGCACCCACCGCGAGCGTGACACATCCCGGCGAGCACAACATGCCCACCGTGGGTGTGATGCGTCCCCCGTGGGAGTGTGACACAGCCACTGCATGCGTGGGGGTGTGTGCAGATCCGTATCCGTGGCCCAGTTCCGGCAAGCCCACGGACCGGCAGCAGTTGATGACCCCTGTTCTACAGCCTTCAGACACCAGTGATTTGCCTGCTTAAATCAGACTCCATAGATACTGAGTGCAAAGAGCATTCAGTGCAGTAGGAAGTCCGGTTAATTTTTAAGGAACCAAGACAACATGGAGAATTGAATCCTTGATGCCCCTATAACCAAATCACCATGAATACTATGTCTTCATTCATTTACCAGAGCAGAACCTTAGAAAGGAAGTTATTAAAATCCAAATTATTGTTCACTGTGGATATGTAGCAGTTCAGTCTTACACATTTTTACTTGACAGTAAGCCCTACTGTATTAAGTAGTCTTGTTTCCAATCAAGTGTGGTATGTTTAATTAACATGTGATATAATAGCGTTGCTAAAGATGGGCTGAGTGTTTGTATGGAAACCTATCCAGTGAATGAATGGAGATACTCCATGTACATGCTGATTTTATTAGTAGGATAAGCTAATATAATCAGATCTACAGAGAAATGTTTATATCTTTTGTATATAGAATGTTTTAATTATACTGTAGTTTAATTATATGTATGGTGTTTTTGTGTGATATCTTTACAGGGTCAAAAAAAAGTTTCAAACTTGGCATCTTCAGTTTCATCATCAAAATCACAAGATAGCCTGAGACAACCTCAGCTAACAAGTATTTTAGGTAATATATTGCTTGTCGTCGTTTAGTCGTGTCTGACTCTTCGTGACCCCATGGACCAGAGCACGGCAGGCCCACCTATCTTTCTTGCCTCCTGTAGTTGTGTCAAGTTCATCTTGGTTGCTTCAATGACACTGTCCAACCATCTTATCCTCTGTCGTCCCCTTCTCCTTTTGCCTTCACACTTTCCCAACATCAAGGTCTTTTCCAAGGAGTCTTCTCTTCTCATGAGATGGCCAAAGTACTGGAGCCTCAGCTTCAGGATCTGTCCTTCCAGTGAACACTCTGGTTTGATTTCCTTTAGAATTGCTAGGTTTGTTCTCCTTGCAGTCCAGGGGACTCTCAAGAGTCTCCTCCAGCACCACAATTCAAAGGCATCAGTTCTTCGGCGGTCAGCTTTCTTTATGGTCCAGCTCTCACTTCAATACAACACTACAGGAAAAAACATTGCTTTGACTATTTGGCCTTTTGTTGGCATGGTGATGTCTCTGCTTTTTAAGATGCTGTCAAGGTTTGTCATCGCTTTCCTCCCAAGAAGCAGGCATCTTTTAATTTTGTGGCTGCTGTCTCCATCTGCAGTGATCATAGGGCCCAAGAAAGTAAAATCTATCACTGCCTCCATGTCTTCCCCTTCTATTTCCCAGGAGGTAATGAGACCAGTGGCCATGATCTTAGTTTTTTTGATGTTGAGTTTCAGACAGTTTTTTGTGCTCTCCTCTTTCACCCTC